CCTGGGCCTTGTCCTGTTCAATGGCCAGGCTCAGAGCAGATGCAGTAAGGCCCTTAGAGGGTAGTAACCTGAATGCTCCTGTGTAGGAAAGAGGGAGGGGGGAGCAAGAGAAGAATACATCATAATAAGAGAAACAGTCACACTGCTTAATTTTAATAGGAAGCTGGACATTTGTAAAATGCTGAAAAATTAGCCAAGTTTTGCAGTTAGGAAGCTGTACTTTTTGTTATTTCTCCAGGTTCTTGGGTTTTCTCTTTTGACTTAAGTAATTGTAAACTTGGAGGGGTCCTGTTTTGGCAGGAAATTTGCTTTATATGATTACAAGTCTTTAAGAAGGCAAACTTCATACTTTAACAAGTACTCGTGCTCCAATTCTGGGATATGTACTCCAGGAAATGATTACAGTTATTAAATGGTGCCTCTGTTTTCAAGTTACTAAACCAATGGCTGAATAAGGTGGCAAACAAGAAACATCATTCCTCTCCTGATGGAAAGTGAATGGCAGTGTAAAACTACTGCTCTATAGGGAAAAAGTATCAGGCATCTGGAGTAAAGTATAAGTAATGCATTTTATCTTTGAAAGATGCTATGTTGGCCTGATAGATTGACTGAGGTTAATATGGACCTTAACAAATAAAGGAGATGGACAATCACCAACTGTATGAAATTCAGCAAGGACAAGTGCCAGATTCTGCACTTGGAATGGGGCAACCCTGGATGTAGGGGCAGACTGGGGAATAAGAGGCTGGAGAGCAGCACCACAGAAAGAGACCTCAGCACACTCTGTGATTCTGTGAAGGTTATCAATTCAAATTCTGCTAGGCTATAATATTCCTTCGTTGAATGGCACCATCTAATCATTCAGAATGGAAAATCTGTTTATCATTTTTCTCCAGCACAAGGGTCAGAGATATGGAAATGCTTAACAAAAAGTGTTGTTTGCATTCAGAAGTGCTTGTCAGGCTTGAACTGACTCGTGGCACCTTCATGTGGCATCCCATGGAACTGCAGTTGGAAATTACTTCTTCGTAAAGGGGTGTGGACTGCATTTCCTTCACCATTAAATTCCCTGAAGAATTTACAGTAACTGTTTGCATGACAGAGTAGAGCAATAGTTTGGCCTTTCTAGGAGGATGACCATTCCTATGACACAGTACAGCAAATGCCTCAGATATTATATTATACTGCCACAAATTACAGGTAGCAAGAAATGGCTCTAGGAGTGCATTCTAATTAGAAAACAGATACCAGAAACTTAGGCTGCTACTTCCAGTGGCGTCATGATAGTATTTGTGAAGTAGAGTATTTAAATGTTCACCTAGTATATTCTGGAGTTTTGCTACTTGGTTTGAGAGGCATAAGGTTAGCAAGTCTCCATGGGATGAGGGGGGAGAATAATTTAAGGTATCATCTAGGTACTTGATTAAAACAAAATATAATTATATGTTAATTAACACCATACCTGCCTTCTGTTCCTCTGGTTTCTACCTCTGTTTTAGATGACTGTCTCTCTTAACTGGCTTAAGCTTCAGAAGCATTCCAGTTTCTCTTACTGTATTTAAATGCTTTGTTAAAACATCTAGATGTAAAAGAGATGGAAGTAAAATAATATTGGATGAATTGTTATCAGTGGCTATTTAACTTTTCTTATGTTGATCTTCAGTTTTGCCAAATAAAATTCTTTATTCAGCTGGTGACTTGGTGTGTCATTTCATCCACATTCTCTATACCCCTCCTACTTCCCATGTTCCACTTACATTTACTTAAAGTTCTGGTCTTGAGATGAAAATCCTTTGAGTGAATCAGGATCAAGTGTCACTAATTCAAGTATAGAAATGACCTTTTGTAGAAAAAGTAATGAGGGTGCATAGGATTAAATCCCTCTGCTTAAACATGTCAGTAACTATATTTAGGTCTAGGGATGTAAATTGAAGAAAGATTTTGTACATCAGAGTTCTTTGACTTCAGTACAGAGCCTTGTATTATCTTTCAAAGAACTCTTTTGATTTGAAGATTTGTAAAGCACTTATTTCACTTAGCCCCATCAAAGAAGGGATAACTAACTCCAATTTAGAGGTGTAAAATGAAGAAAGTTTGTTACATGCATTACTTTAACTTTCTGCCTTGCATTTCAACCATAGTGTTTTATCAGCAAAGGCAATAGCTGGTTTGTACTGCCTCTGTGGTGGTGGGGAAATAACTTGGGAATTGGCAGTGGTTTTGTGTATGGGTAATAGTGCTGATGCAGCAGGGACTGAAAGTGCCTTTCCTTTGATTTTTTTTGATTTTGGATTCTGAGAAATAGCTTGTTTCTGCAGCATAGACAAACATGAGTCTAACCCGAGTCTTAAGCACAGATACTTCTACCTCCTACTCCACTGTGTTAAGAGAAACACAGGATTCTTAATGGTAATCAGTGATGGAGAAATAGTCAGGGACTGTGACATCTTTAACTTGGGGGCTGAGAGAAGCTGAATGGCTTCATTTTGTAGAAAGACAATTACTTCCTGGATAGACTCAAATGTATTTTATCCTTATACCCAGCAAAATAGTAATTTGTCTTGTGGATAAATTTGTACATTGATTTTTCATGTGCTTTTCCTACACTGCAGTTCAAATTTAATCATGTGGAAAAGTAGAAGTGGTTATATGACTTCATATTGATGTTCTTCTAGCAAATGAATTGTAATAAATCTTACCATAAAGCATGGCTGTACTTCTTCAGTTCTTTAGATGAACTGTGTATTGACTTATATCTTTCAGATATTTTGCTCACAATGTTGGGGTTTTTCTAATATTCTGTATTATAATAACGATCTCATTCTATATTTTTCCACAATACTTTAAAAAGTATTTTCCCAAAATAATATCATAAGTTTTACTCTTCCATCTAATATTTAAGTGAAAGAATGCTCTAAAGTTGATGGAGTAAGATAGGATGGGGGTATTTGATTCATGTGTTAGTGCAGCTCTATGGGAGGAGATGTTAGGAAGCCGTCTGTGTGACTTTCCTAGTAGCTACATTCATTCCAGTGTTGTTAGAGCCCCAGTTTTAACTTCTTGTTTGACTTAACTCATAGTTGTCCTTAGAACGTTTTTATTTCATCTCTATGAAAAACTGTACGGAGGGGTTTAAAAATAACTGTTGGCCATATCTGGCAGACTTACCTAAGAGAAGATTATGAATTCTGAAGTTAAACCCTTCTTTCCTGGGGCTGCAGTTTTCTCTTGGTTAATTTCTGTCTAACCTGCAAATTAAGTTCTAGTAGTTGGACAACTTGGTCTTTTTGCCAGCTAATTAGCTCCTGCAATTACATCATAATGTTTTGTGCTGAACTGAATCTTAACCAACACTTGTGTTGTTACTTGATAGTGTGAAGTAAATGATACTGAAATAGCATTGGTGTGGCAGGAAGGCCACTTGTCTTAGAGAGTGATCAAACTAATATGGTTGTCTCTTTTTACACTGGTCTTGGCTTTCTTGTTTGAGAGAATGGGGGAAGAAGGATATCAATGATGTTATAACTCCTAATTTGTTTTTGTATCTGGGCACAATGGGTGAAGCAGAAGGCAGATTTATAATGTAACCCATGGGCTCAAAGCGAGGTTGACAAGAGCAGGTTGTTCAGATCCTTGACAATTTGGTTGTGCCTTTACAACCTCTCTGTGCAATTGCTTCCCAGCGTTTGATTGCCCTCAAAGTGGAGGTTTTCTTTTTATGTTCAACTGGAATCTAATTCGTTTTCCTGAAAAATAAACCCTTTGCCAGGGGGGAGAAAGCTTCCTAGGTACTGCTATCTATTCTGTCGTGTAATTTCAGTAGCTTTTTTACTCCTTCAGAGACTGTAAGTCCAGAACAGCTTTTTCCTTTGTGATTCCCCAAATAGGAATGCATTCAGATGCTGATGGCTTGTTTTGTATGTCAGTAGGCAAGAAGCTTCCTGTCCCTTTTATCAAAAAGGCTTCAGGCAGATCAGATTAAAGCAGTTTAAGTACTGGCCCATTCTCACTGTAATTCATAACATGTGCTTCCTCAAATTTGCATAGACCATCAAGATTAAGATTTTTATGCACAACAGGAGAATTACTGGAGGAAGTTTGCAGCATAAATTTTGACCAGTTTTGCACAATTGATGGAGAGGGAGCTCTAGAAGAGGTTGCTGTAAGTTGCTTCCATAAAGGCTTCTGTTATTTGTAAAGGTGCCTGTATAGAGGGTTTGCCAGGAAGAGGACTGTGAATCACTACAAGGAACTCCTGTTGTGCAGTAATTTTCCTGTACTGATTACTGCTACTAGCTCTTACCTTAACGCCAGAGGTTGTTGTTCAAAGGTAACACAGTTTAAAAATGTAAAAGAGAGAAACAAAAACAATGAGAAGTTGATATTTAGAACATGAAATAAATACTAAATTAGGAGGACAGCCTAGATGGAAGAGGATTTGGGGGACAAAAAGAAACATAATTAGATGTAAAGTGTGTAGGTAATATCTAATCTCTGGAATAGTGAAGGAAGGGATATAAAGAAATGAGTTTAAGCTTCAGAAAGGGATCAAGACTAGATGTTATTAAATAAATTTTATCACCCAGAAGAATTTCTATTTAGCTTATTCTTGATAATAGGTAATGATATCGTCTCATCTAAAGCAGTTGTAGAATCTTTAGGATGATATCAGCATGGTTTAAATGTATATGATGTCTCCACGTTCTTCACTCTGTGGTTTTGGCCAAAGCCAGACTGGATATCATGGGATGAAGAAAATAATTCTGTAGTTAATGTGTGTATATAATGTGAAAAGTAGTTACTGGACTATCTTAAACTGAATAAGTTTAAATTAATTGTTACTCTTGTCCTTTTTAATTAATCAATAAAGGACTTAGCTGTTGTTCCATGTGTGTGGGCTACTCAGTATCCTTGATTTCCAGCTTTAATTATCAACAACATGAATGTAGAAATTCGCTTAGATCTTTTGTAAAACTAATACTGTTTTGTTTTTTTCCTAGTTTCTATGGAGATTTTGGACCTTTAAATTTGGCAATGTTATACAGATACTGCTGTAAACTAAATAAGAAATTAAAGGTAAGCTTAATTTAAAAACAATATTCCTATATTTTTTGTATTTTCAAATGAAAATTAAATTAGCTTGTTTGAAAGTGGTTGTTGGGTGCTCACTAGCTAGATGATTATTCTTAAGCTTTAAGGATATTCTTTGTGCTGAGTTCTTTTCCCTCTAAAGAGTGAAAGAAAATACTATGCCCTCATTTCAGCTTAGGAGGTGAGGCAGGTGACTGAAGGCTGTGTTCATCTTTTTGCAAAACTTGAACACTTTCATGACAGTCGTAACAAAAGCTGCTGGTTGTGTCGTGGGTTTGCAGCTAATGAAGTGTTTATGCTGGTCTGAATAACTAAAAAAACAGAAACAAAAGAACAGAACTCAAGGAACAAAACATGGGTCCTGAAATCCCACTGTTTAAAGTAAATCTCAGTGGAAAAGGAGATGGAAACAGAGTAACAGGAGGCCTTGGAACTATGAGAGCACTGCTTGGCAGTAGATAAAACATGGCTGTGTTATCAGCACAGTTGATGACAAATCTGAATCACAGCATCACACTGGATGCTTTGCCTAAATCCCAGCTCCATCCCAGCCAGACCCTCTGAACATATGTACAGTGCAGGCTTCCCCTTCTCCAAATACTTGTGAAGAAGTGATTTGCAGCATGTAAAATCTGTCAACTGCAAGAAATGAAAGAGATGTTTTAATTCCAAAATGCTGATTAATGTAACTTGTGGGCAAATAGTGAGAAGACCCTTCACTAAATATTACAGGGGTATGCTGAGTTCCATTAATTCTTAAGTGGAAGTTCTGCAAATTTCTTGAAAAAAAAGTGCTTCTAGTGAAAATTTACATTGCTTTTTACTTTAAAAAGATGCTTATAAAGATAAAAAGTTAAACTCTACTATTTGTAGTTTTGCATGCCTGTGCTCTTATTGGGAAAATGTTGGATTTGCCATTTGATAACACCAGGCACCTTATAAATACATAATCACCCTATTTTGTGGTACCACTGTCCCATTTAAACACGATTCACAAAAAACCACCAGTGATTCTTGCTCAGTAGGAATCTATCTTTTTTCACCTTAATTCTGCTGTTTGTGACCTTATATTTGCTTTATTAAAAACTGGAGAATGCTTGCACTGTGAAGCAGTTAGTCCAGAGAAGAACCAGTAATAAACCTACTATTCTAACTTCACTGTGCCCATGGGAGCTCGAGAGATTGGTTCTGTGTTTTCCAGATTTGGATTGTGACTGTGATCAGTTTGGGATCTTAATAGATCTCATATATATTACTGTGTGCCTTCAGTCTTGAACCTAGGTACCAAGAGTTTCACCTGGAAAACAAGTATGCAACTAATAAATATCTCAGGATTTTTATTTTAATGGTTCAGTATTAAACAGGAATGTGTCTGCAGTCTTTATCCTTGTTCTAAAACCATCATCTTGTTTATTGAATGAGGCAAGGTAATCATCAGAAGTGTCTTGTAAGCACAGTGATGAAGATTGGATGTTGTGATGGGGGGGAAAAAAAGGCAGCTAAATTGGAGCTGAAACTATTAACACTGATATTCGAGGGGTTGATTTAGCAAGCTGTATTATCAATTTTAATGTAACTTCTCTATTTTTTGAGAAGAATGGATGTACTTGCACTGCTGAGTGAAGGGTACAGAACAGAGAGGTCTCTACTGGGAGGAAGTGCAGTTTGTTGCTGCTGGCTTGCCAGAGGCTAATTCCAAATAGGTTAAATTAAACTCCTAGTGCTTAAGAGAGAAAGGTAACCTGATAGTGCAACCACTAGAAAGTAATCCCTGGAGTCAAACAGCTAAAGCTTGGAGCTCTGCCAGAGTGGTACAGAAGGTTACATCTGGCTGGACTCCAGTGTGGCTGATGGGCACCCCGGGGTAGGCCAGTACTGCTGATGGACCCTTGCTCTTCTAGCGGTTACAATCTGTGCCACACCCTGTCCTAAGCTAGGTGCCATCTGCAGGGGGTCAGTAGGCTTGTGAGACTGAAGCCTCTGCAGGTGTATTTACATGGCCCAGAGGAGTGCATCTGCTGGGGATTCAGCCTAGCTACAGTGAGTGCTGCTCTGCTTCCCCAGGTGAGAATTAGTCCCCATTTGTGCACCTCATCCTCTTGTGTGTGTCCTTCACACATGTCCCCAGGAGGAGTTCTGGGGCCTGAATCAGGGTGTTTGCAAGGTCGTGACCTGTGACTTACCTGCCCTGCAGCAGCAAAAGTGTGGTAATTTCATGTGGCACCAGGTGATGTGTGAGCAGCCTGGCATGAGTGTTTCAGACATGGAAAGTGCAGATTGGACCAAGGACCCTTGCCTTAAGGGTGGGTGCCCCGTCACCAGCTGCATATGGGAGATAAAAGACTACAGATGATCACAGGATGGTTGCTATTGCCATACTGCAACACTCTTGGGACCCTGGAGCAGTCACAGTGCTTAAGCCCAGATGATTTGGTGTACTTGGTTGGGTAAGCACTTTTTTGTCCACCACAGCACTTTCTAATGCTGTCATAAATTCTCTGCAAGTAAATCTCTCTTGAGATCTACAGGGAATTTCTGAAAAAGAAAAAATGTAATCTTACAGTGGAAGTAAATATTCTGCAACCTTCATACACCTTATGAATTAGTTTTCTTACCTAAAGCAAAAACCACTACACTTTGTGTAACCTCTGCTTTTAATTCACAAGATGGTCATTCAGTATGTTCCTCTGGGATACATCTTGACAGAGACTGTTTATGTTATACTGTTAAAATTTATCTTTTAATGATGTGTGAAACTGATAAAATTTTCTCACTGGTAAAGAATATTTTTCGTGCATCACAGTGTGTGCACCTTAGTTCTGTTGTGGGGAAAAAAAGATTGACAACTATGTTATCTGCAACTATAGTTATTCCCTAGATGACCTGTATTGAAAAAGTCCTTGTTGAAACAATCCTGGTTCTTCAGAGCTGTGCTGTCCCTAGGGGAACTAGAGCCCTAATCCACTCAGGAGCTGTAAGAACAGTAACCTCCCAGAAATGTTGTGAAAGCTCATCACTGAACCTGGCCAGAGGAGCAGATCTAGCTTATTAAATACAGTCAGAAAAATCAGTATTTTTTAAAAATAGATCATACAGCTTAGTTTTGATAATGAAAGTGCAGTGAGTTGACAAAGTACACATTAGTGTTAACAGATACATTGCATTGATGCTTCACCAAACACCTACTGTAAAGCTTAATCTTCTGTGCACATAAAAACAGTTATTTGTTTTATAGGCTTCTGAAAACTTAAATTGTGCTGCTGTATTCCACTGCTTACTGTGCTATAAGACATTAATGTCAGTTTTCAATTTTGTGTTAAAGCTTTGGTCAGGATTCAAAACCTTTAAATATTTCATATAACAAGGATTATACCCTTAAATTTTGAAAATTACGCAATAAAACTGATTCATTGTTTTCATCTAAATATTCTGGAAACTTCAGGTTATGGCTACTTTAGGTACAAAAGTGTCTCAAAATTGGAATCACTTGATATACCCATATGATTAAAAGATCCCTTCTATAAAATAAAACAAGAAATATGGTCTTACTACATAGAACTTACTTCTCACTAGCTAGCTTTGCAGTTTAAAATAGTGTTTTAGGTGAACTGTAAACTGCTGCAAAGAACTTTGCTTTAAAATAAGTAGTAGTCAATAAGTTATAATTGAAGTTCTGTCACTGTTGCATAACTACTGTAATCTTATCCCACCTACACATCATGGGTGGAATTGCAGTTAGAGAACACTAAAATTAAAAAATTGAGGAGGGGGAAGAAGGGAGGAATCTTAAAGTACTGGGATTCATTTTGTCAAGTTTTAATAATAATTGAATGCTTCACTAATTAAGTAACGACTTGTGCTTTGTATGTTTGCATATACACTGAGAGAGATGTTGCTGTTGGCCTCAAGATACCTCTTCCAATCAACAGCAACCAGCTATTTCAGGAATTACAGTCTTATTTACACTCAGTTGCATTAACTCTCGTTCCTTCCACCTCTGGAAGTTGTAGCTTGTAAGACCAGACTGGAAGGCACGGTTAGAACTGTAACTAAAGGTGCTGTGCCTCTGGGAGATGGGAGCAGGAAACTCACTGTGGTACCTACATCAGTTTTCTCCTGAGTTGACTGGCTGTTTGGTTTTTTGGAAAATTTGATTCTGTGGTTAAAACTGTTCTAAAATTTGCAATAAGTTTTGAGATGAGAGTGGACATGGATGGATTTCTGGAAGTGAAATACAGTTGGCACTACAAATGAAACACTATTCTGCAGCAGTTGCCTTATCTCCTTTTCCCAAGTGTCAACACTTGCCACAAGAGTTAAAAATCTGAAGTTGGGTAACAACAGCACTGGTATTAGGGCATTTTATAGAACATGCAACTTTTAAAAATAGAAAAAGACTTAAAATATTTAGAAATAGAATCTGTTGATGACTTCCTCAAAACTGTAGGAGTGCTGTAAAAATCAGTCTGGAGAAACATGGAGTGGTACAGTAGAGTATAATGGAAGTGTGGCAATTCATGAAGTTTTAAAAATTATCAATGCAGTAAATTGTTCAACTTGCCATTTCTAAGTGACAAGAGTGTCTCTTTCTGGCTTTAAATAGTTTTGCTGCAACTTGTCATTATTGTTCTTTTCTGGTGCTTGTTGATTTTTGTTTTCAATGGGAGGTTTGACCCCAGGATTCTGACAGAGGCTTCTTTTCTTCATAAAGAAACAAGAATTACAAGTGTTACTAGTTTTGTCTTTGCCTAGCCTTTCCTTCAGGCTTTTCTCTTGTACAATCTTTTCTTTTTCACCTTTTTAAGTAAATTTTTGCTGTTGAAGGTTTCTAAAGATGTCTGTCACCCCATTTTAAAATAGTATGGATGGAAGTGTTTAACTTATAAAATTACTGTAAGGTTGATTGAGTTTTTCTTTTGTCTTCTCCACAGAATTATGTGCCAAAGAGGTTTAACATAAAGGAGGATGTTTTAGTTTAAAAACGTCAATGTCTTTAATCAGTGTTCATAAGCTAGTGTTTCAAATATTTAAGCTTGGGAGGAAAAATCCAGTTTTTTATATTGAAGATTTTGGTTCAGCTCCACTTTATAGCATGGTTTTGTACAGCTAACCAAGAGATCTGCCCAGAAACAGTGGCTGTTTCCCTGTGCTCTTTTTTATCTGTGATACAGGATTTTTTCAGAGTATGAGTAACTTTTTCTCTCTTAATTTTAAGAGATTCTTGATAAGAATTTTCTCTGAATTTTTCTGAACAAGCCTGTTTTGCAGTTTTGGAAAAGTGATTTTGCTAAAGTGCTCTTAAAGCATATTCTTTTCTTGGTAAATAGGCTGTTTTGTTTCTTTTCTTTGGAACAGTATTTCAGTCTCTCAAGAAAGAAGATTGTGTACTACACCAGTTTTGACCAGCGGAAGCGAGCGAATGCAGCGTTTTTGATAGGTGCATATGCTGTAAGTATTTTTCATCACATGGATGCTTCAACCTTCCTTGAGAGCCTTCTGCTGTGTGTAAAATGGCTTCTCAAGGGATGCTCCTTTAGGGAGGTGGCCTGATGGTCATTTCATTTGTCTCTAAGCTGTCTTTGACAACTCATACAACAGAGTTTTAGGGAAACCTGGTCATCATCCCTTAACTCCATTTATTTTACTACACTGGGAATGGCTTTGGCAGATCCCCTGCATGTTTTTCCATAGGATACCATTTTCTTGAATGTTGAAAATCCAAATCACTTCCCTCTAATTGACCATGTTAGGATGAATTGCTTCTCATGTCATTTGTGATTCAGACTCAGATTCAGACTGGGAAGGAGAAAAGATTTTTCCCACAGCCTTTTTAAAGTTACTAAACCAGAGGCATAGTGATTATTGAATTGATTTCCTTTCTCATTTAATTTTCATAACCTACCCAGAATAATAGACAGTGTGCCACAGCACTACTGCTATTTGAAAGTTAATTGAGGAAGTTTGGTTTATTTGTCCTGGTTCTTTTTCCTTATAGGTAGCAGATGGACCAAACATAGTTCTTTCTCATGATTCCTCTGAGTGTGTATTTTTATAGTAATATCTTTTATTAGATTTCTGTAATGTAGTGAGAGAGAAAAGCTGTTAAGTTCTTAACCTTGTAGTTTTTATGCAAATGACTGAGTAATAGCAAACTACTGTGACATGTCCAGTTATTTGCTTGCAGAAGTGTTTTTTCCTAATATAAAAACTTAAATTCGACATCTTAGCCTTACCTGAAACATGAAGGGTTTGTTTGCTGGTAATCTAAGCAGCTCTAGAGGGGATCTGTTCTGTATATTTCTAATTTGTAAATGGCTGGTGCAGGTGGGAAAAACATAAATCCAAATTGCATTTGAAATACTGTGGAAAACTGTTCGGGTAGACTTGGAAAATACTGATTCCATTTTTGTTCTGTAAGCTTTTTAGGACATATGATAGGAATTTTCTTGACAGCATGTACATGGGGCCAGTATTGCTGCATGTCATGTGCCTGTGTAATGGCCTTACTGTGGGGACTTTCAACCACATCATCACTCAGAGGGTTGAGAACATAAAAATGAAAATGTCAGAGAAAAAAAATGTTCAGCATTTATTGAATCTGGGTTTTACAAGTAGCAGTATCACATGGTAAGAGTTACAGCAGAGTCAGTGGGAAAAGGGAAGAAAACCTTGTCCCTTGGAAAAAAAAAACAAACTCCTATAAGAGAATAGTTACTATCTATAAAGTTATTTTTTTAAGCTTTTACGTTGCTTCTTAAATACCAATTCAGTTTATCCAAACTATTCAGAATGGGCTCTTTGTGTTGTTAGATTTTTTAAAATTTGTGTATGTTGCAGAAGGAAAGCACTCTGAAGATTCCACATATTAGATTAAAAATGAAGCTAAACTTTGGTTGCTGACTTTTCATTGATACAGATGAGTCAGAAAATGTCTCCTTGGTTTTTATTAATTGAATTCACTACTTTTCAGGTGCTGAAGATGTACTGTAATGTTTTCCTCTTCATTTCATTATCCTTCCTCCTTCAGTTATTGCTTTACTCTTGACATCTGAGATACTTTTGATTTTTTCAGGAGCTTGTTCAGTGTTTCTTTCCCTCTTCTCTCTTTGTGTTCTTAATATCTTTTTTCTTTTTCCTCTTGGTGTCTATTATGAGCCTTTATGAGCTGTGTGGACAGCCAATGACCAGGGTTTAGTTCAAAGTGTCATGTATGCACGTCTTGGAGCAGACACAGCTTTGTAGGGCCAGAACTTCTGTCAAATAAAACCTACAGTGTTGGGAAAACGTGGTACAAATTTGCCCCCACTTCAGATTCACAATTCCTTGATAAGGTGGAAACTCATCTTTTTCCTGAAGTTCTCTGAACTACCTACTAAGGTAGTAATTCATGCAGCATTAAAGTCTCTCAGTTGCAGCAGTATGTGACTTTTTTCCCGTTTTCTTTTTTAAAGTAAGGGATTGACACAAAACAAAGTTTTGTTGATACCTGAAACTTCTTTGTGTAGGCATGTCTTTTCTGATCTGTATATTTCACAGGAATTTGTCATGAAGGAGTATAACATGTATTCTTATGAATTTAGTGTGCTGGAGGAAGTTTCTATCTGGTTAAAGACTTTTCAGACTCAATGCTGATTTTTTATTTTTCCCCCTCTTTCCCCATCTCTTTTAGATTATATACTTGAAGAAAACACCAGAAGAAGCTTACAGGACACTTTTATCTGGATCTAATCCACCATATCTTCCATTTAGGTATGTGAACACAAAAATGAGGCTGTCTTCTCTGTTTTGAAATTTGCTAAAAATTTGGGGTTTAGATTGCTTCCCAAAAAGGTGTTTCATGTCTCGTATAGATATTGTATGGAAATAACTGATCTCCAGAAAAAATATTTTTTACATCTTGTGTAATTACCTGCTGTTTGTGGGAATGATAAATCATTTAGATTGATATAAGTCTTAAGTAAGACTCAGTCTAGCAAACTCTCAGGTTTTAAAAATAGTTCTTAGCATGTTTGTGATTTAGCACTTAAACCTTTTCTTCATAATGCATCGTGTTTCACTATTTGGAAGTCATTCAAATATTTGAAATTACCTAGTCCCTAGCCAGTGAGACTTGCAGGATTGAAGGGAGTTTTATGCTGTTGTATTATCTCTGTTTTATAGAACAGGTACTGATATTAAGGTTACAGAATGTTTTCAGTGAATCATAGTTTCTACCAGTCTTTATTCTCTGTACTAAGGTCATATTGAGGCTTGAATCTAAGGAATTTTGGCTATCATGCCTATCTAATAGAGAGACTTGCAAATATTTTTCATGAACTGTGAAATGCCCTTATGCTTTATGAATGAGAATACCTCATGGTATTCTTATGCAAACACTGGCAATGAAAGGCAGCTGCAAGAAGGTCAGTAGCCTCCCTTTTAGGGGAATCAGCATTTTGCAAGTAGTGTTCACTGGTGGCCAGTGCATTTGTAAATGTAGACCTACCTTGTCTATATCAAATTCCTCTGATTCTTCAGCCACTCAGCAAAGGAAGATCAGATTGTCTCTTCTCATACTTGGCACAAAAGCCAGATGCAATATAAACTGCTGGAGTGGTGGATTTTTTTATGTCAAGACCAGTTTGACTGAAATCTTAAACCATCAGCTACATTTTAAAAAAAGATATTAAATCAGTGATAGCTTTTATTGACAGAGAATTTATACACTGATCTGGTCACTGACAGCTCTCCAAAGCCCAAGAAGTTTACTGAGATACTGGTGTCCATATTTTTTTAGTTAATTATGAAAGATACTTGGTACAATGCATTAAAAAACAATCAGTTATTTTAAACAGGTCAGTGTTTTTTAACATCTCTAAATTCTGTATGATACAGGCGTCATGATCTACATTAAACAATGTCTTGCATGTGCCTTAGCATTGCTTCCATGAGATTTGCTTTATGATCTTCTGAGGCACAGAGGTGGTCCTCACCTGCTTGCAGGTCTCTGACATTACTCCTATTTTTAGAAAGGGTACAATGTTTCCCTTTTTCCAGTCACTGGGGACTGGGCCTGACTGCCATTACTTTTCAAATATGATAGAGAGTGGCTTTACAACACCTTCAGTCAGTTCTCTCAGGACCCTGGGATACATCTCATCAGACCCCATAGCTGAATAGCTGTATCTTGTTGACCAATTAAAGAAATGTACTCTTTGGGATTGTAATAAATTGATATGTCTTTAGGTTTTTCTCATCTCTGCAAAACATTCTCACAGGACCCTGTTTGCTCCAATAAAAGGCTATAGATTCTTGCCTTGCAACTAATTCCTTACAATACTGATATTGATAGAAATAGTGGTAATAAGAAAATGCTATTTCTGCTTGACTGGGAAGGGCTAATGAAAGTAATTGTCTCTGATTTCTTGTGAGACTGATTGGAACCACAGTAACAAATTTAATGACACAAAACAATTTCCTATTATGTGTTAATTGATTATTCAATGGCAGTCCTTGTGAGTTTGAATTCATAAATTTTAATTCCAAAATAGAATAGCAAGCTACTCTAGTATTAGTGAAGGAGGGATCAAAGAAATTGAAGAAATGGCAAGATTTTCTGGAGATAATTTTGTATTATATGCAAAAGAGCTTCTTGTATTTCCCTGGGAACTGTATACTAACCAAAAACATTGAAGAAGGCAAAGTCCAGCAAAGGGACCACTTAGGCTTTGCTGTCTGGGCTGGCAAAATGCTTACGAAAGAATAATTGCTTAATTCCGTTTGCCAGCTTCAGGAAAAGACAGCAATAAATTCATGGAGTAGGATATTCTGAAACATAACTACTTTGCAGTCTTTTTCAAGCCCTAGGTTGCTGTGAGAGAAATGATTGTCTAAAGCTCAAGCTTTAGACAGTTACGGGGTTTTTGTGATGGGTTTTGCCTGGTGTGGGTGGGTGTAGGTATTTGGGCTTTTGTTGCTCTGTTTGGGTTTTTTTTAATGCAAAGCTTTGGCAATGTTAGAGGGAGATATTCTTGAGCCTTGCTGTCTCTAGAAGGAATATAGTGTTAGGAGCATTTGCTAGAAGAATTAAACATCTTGATTTCTTGAGCATTCTTCCATGCAGGTGTGGGGCTGGAAGGCACTGACATTTCTTTTGGATCTGCTTTGGACTGCATCAGGTCTTGGCTCTGGATTAGAGCCTAAGCAGATTCTGTTACCTGCAGTGTAGTTTGTCCTGCTGGGGAAGATGGGTGTGTAATCTGGCTGTACTGGAGGGGAGACAGAGAGGAGTGAGGAAATAAACTGAAGGATTGTGGTAAAAGAAGTTAGATGAGAAATGGGAAGCCTGATAGGGAGGGCTTCTTTGGGTACTGAGTTCATAGATGGAGGTTGGTATAAACAAGGAGTTGAGGAAATGCTGAGAGAAGGGCAAGTAGATGTGATGAGTGTCTTCAGTGGGACCATCTACATTATCTGGACATGGGGAAGAAATAATTTAATCATCCTCCCTGGTGTTTCAAAGCCTTTGAGACGTTTTCCCCCGCCCCCCATTTCAAGACATAATCCAAGTGTCTTGCCTCTTTCCTCATGTTCTAAGGTCTATAAAGGAAATAATTTGGAGATACTAATCATTGCTATTCAGTATTTATTGACTTGAATTTATTCTTGCAGCCTGGAATTTAGGTATTACATAACTTTTGTGGTATAGGTCATCTCTGAATAGTTTTAAGAGTTTATCAGTGACCATAATAATAATCAGTTAAGTGTTACAACAGGACTATTTAACAAGTTTATTAATTTGATACCTGAAGTGTCCTCTATTTGAAAAAAAAAAAAAAAAGGACAACTGAATAGGGAGAAGCTGCAGCATTGTCAGATTCTTTGTGGAGTACTGAGGTAGGTTTACATGAAGTGATCACTGGGAAACTGATCTACTTTCGTGTAGCTCAGTGACCTCAAAAAGCCCTAATCGGCTTAGGTCTTCAGCTGGTATTGCATTTTAAGACAGCTTCAGCAAATACAGGTCAGGGGCAGAAAGAAATCAAATCACTCTTCTTACAGAATTCGTGGAAATTTGTTTTGTTTTGTTTTTCTAATAGAGAAGCTAAAGATAACTTGGCAGGATAAGGCACTGCTGTCTTTGAGACACTTTTGTCTTATTTTTGGCTGATTCCCTGTCACTTGGTGACGCTCTAGTCTTTTGAAGATCTTATAATGTATCTTCTCACTTCCATTTAAAAAACAGTGCTAAAACTAGTTAAAATTGTCGTGAATACCAGTTGCCTACTGAGAAGCAGAGTTTCAGATTTTTACCTCAAACTCTCTGTATCAACGAAAAACAAATATGTTTTAATATTATTATGTTCAGTCTCTAAATAATGGCATGAATTTCAGAGAGGGATTTTAGTTTATAGCTTCTGGGATTTTTTTCTTTATTGGCAAGTGCTGGGGAAACAAACTGTTTTGTTATTGACAATGTTTAGAGGTTTGGTGAAAGAGAAAGCATTGTGTAGTATTGAGGTCAGCTACAACTGTGAAATCGGATGTGGGGTATGCAGCTCTGTAATGCCAGCTCAGATTCGTACTAAATCTCTGTCTCCTGAAAATGCTCACATTTTTTCTCATTTTGGAAGTGAACAGAGTTCTGTCACTGTCTGAAAAGTAAGGTGGCTATTCATGTGAGCACAAAAGATTGTAAGAATACTGTAATGAAGCATGTGGCCAGCAACCTGCTTTAATGGTCAGGAGCACATCAGGAGAAACAAGACATTTGAGACACGGGTGAGGGAGGCAATCCATGTGAGCTGCCAGCTGTGCAGGTCACTGGGAACAGCTGGCTGTGGGACCTGGAGCTGAGAATCCTGTACACCTGGAATTGTACATCTAGGTCAGCTTCACCATCCTCCCTCCCTCTTTCATAGAATTTTGTGTTAATTTTTAATGGTTAGGGATTATGTAGCTTTTTTCCCCCAGTGCAGTTTTTGTGAACAACACTATTAGGTGCCTTATCAGTCAAAGAAGTAATTATATACATACAAATAAAAAAAGTTATATTCTTGTTACAGCAAAATAACATATAATATAGAACATGTCTGCTACAATCATATCTTCTGTTCATATTTCTCTAAATATTTAATTTTGTAGTTTGCATTGGTTTGGATTTTATTTCTGCCAGCCTCTCCAGAAAACTGGTACAGCTTTTAAACCCTTTCTACTATACACCTGTTCCCATTGGGCACTTAATTTTTTTTGCTCACAAGACCTTTTCGTTTGCTAAAATGCTTTCGTTCAAAAAGGATCTGTTACAATGTGATGTTCAAAATAATCATGTAAATCCATTATCTGTCAAAAACGTATTGTCTGTGAAATTCATATTTTTTTTTAATGTCCTGCTTATTCAAAGTAATGAAAATACTTTATGGATTCTCATTTTTAAAACTTCTCTGTTGGGTTTGGATATGGAAGGTTCATACACACTTCAAAGTTCTCATTCCAAGAAATTATGGTTAAGTGTGTTTTAATAATCCAATAATACAAAAGCTTTTTTAGATTGGCCTGCCTGCAATATGACACTACCAAAATTGTAGCTTTTCATTTTCTTCAAAACATTTTCTATGAACACTGCCTGCTCAAAACTGCTGAACTTATTCTGCTCTCAAAGAATAAGGGAGAATTTTCTACTCTTAAAGTACTTGAGATTGAAGGAGCATATCACAGACTTCATACTACTTATACCAAGTTTCATCAAAAAAGAAGAGTTTGTCAATGAAAGATTGAAATTTTGAATCAGTTGCAGATTAAATCTGTATCTGTTTGTACCTAAAATGTTGCTATTCTGATAAATTGCAGTTCTTAGCACTGCCCAAATAGATAAGAGAAAAACTATAAGAGATTTCCTTAAGTGATAGGGAAATAATCTGCTCAGGCAGAGTTTTGTGAATATCAAAGTGTTCTGAAGCACACTTCGAAAAGTACTTTTTCATTTTTCCACAACGCATTTTTGGGTGGTTTTCTTTTCTATTTAATGTGTCTGTCTCTTACCACTTGAGTATGTTTTGGTTTGGAGTTTCACTTCACTTCATCTTTCACAGACAGGTTGTAATTTTCATATTTGTAGAACTGAGGTTAAGTAATTTTAAAGTTAATTATATCAGAATAACTTTTATTCATATCTATTACCGGACATCAAAATGAAAGCCTGTAATTTAATTCCAAGTTAATGGTCTTATTTACCTGCCCCTGTTAGTGTAAATCAATTAAGACTTAAATAATGGTTAAAGCAAGCTGTACTTTATTTGCTGCTATCTTTACACAATCCTGAGAGGATGCAAACCTTCCTGTTCCAGAATAGCATAAATAATTTGGTAAAGAGCATTTTACCTGATGTAAAATATGCACCTAAAGTAGCTTGCAATATCTAGCTGCATTTACTCTGAGCTTGAGTAGGGGAGTACTTTAACCTGAACTAGCTTCTAAAAAGATGTCTTTGAACTTTAAATTAAAGTTCTCCAAGGGGATTGAATAGCTTGAATGTATTCTGTTGTGTGCTCCCCTTCCCCTAGCTCTTCAAATAATTCAGTGTATATTAAATTCATTTGTATTGTATCTGTAGGGATGCTTCGTTTGGGAACTGCACGTACAATCTTACCATCTTGGACTGTTTACAGGGAGTAAATAAGGTAATAACATTTCTTCTTAGCAAAACAGGTTTAAATTGATTTTTAAAACATGAAGAAAAATACTGTTAAAATAGATTATAAAACCTGGTTTCAGAGTAGGCTGTGAATGAGTAGGGATGAAACCTAAGTTACTGAGGACTGTGTTTGAGTACTGATGGTGGAGGCAGGTTGCACTCTGACTGCCTGGCCTGGCCTTTGACAGCTTTTTCAACTTCACCTCATGAATTGGAGGCTCTTAATGCAAAGTCTGGTAATAGATCATTTATATCCATTGGTGAGAGGGAATGACAGCTTGATGAGGTCAAGTGAAACAGATACCAAGCTATACTGTGATTTAATCAGAACAGTTATTGCATGTACTTGGCCCCAGCTTTCCCCCAAAACACTTGGTTTCAAAATTATTTAAAACCAATGAAAACTAACATATTTTACTAGTGATTTGATGTGTCACTTTAAGTAGTCCTGAGCTAATAGGCTCCAGTATTATTTTCTTAAAAAACTTTGATATCAGTTCTTAATTGGTGACCTTTACATTTTGTTTATCATTTCCCATGGTTCTTGGTGAAGGGAGCAGGCTATAGGAACAGTGCTGTACAGATACTTTATAGACCACTTGTAATTCTTAAAAATGGCAAAACAAGTGGTTTTTAAAAATTGGAAAAAGAGAGATCAAGCTTAATATTTTTAGTTCTGTGGGGGTGGGAAAGGAGCTGTCAGTTACCAGCAAGACTGTAATTTGTGAGGCATTCTTTGGATCCTGAAGATCTGAAGTAGTCAGTGCAGTCACTGTAATTTATCTGCAGCTAATACATCAAAAGGACGGTGAGAATCAGTTTTTCCTCCTTTGTTCTCTTTAAGTTTAAAACTGAATTTTTGTCTAGCTCACCTGCAGAGGTAAAAGCACTTTGGGCAGAAATCGTATGTCTTAATTGAAAGTAATCTTAGTTTACCTGGATAAATTTGGTGTTTGTATGTGTGTATGTTATATACAGGTAGTTCAGGAGGCCTGCAGGTTCTGGAGTGCAGCTGTCCAGCTATGCTTCAATTAAATATATATTTCAAAATCAGCTGTTCAGACAAACCTCTCAGTATCTTAGGTTTCATGAAGGTCCAGTCACTGAGCTGATTTTGTCTATAACCAAGTTATTTTTCATTTGTCCTAAAAAGGTGCTCTGTATGTAGCAAACAATTACAGTCTGATTATTGGTTTTAAATCATAGATATGTGGGGTGTTCTTATCACACCTTAATTTCAGAATTTTGTGCAATATCTATGTTTCTCAAAATGCAGTAGGTTCAGTATAAATATATGCTGCAGAAATGTTTTCCACCAATTTGGAATAAATATTGGCTATGAATTTCATATTCATAGAATTGTTTTCGATATGGTTATTACTTATAACTTACGGTTATTATTAATCTTTAGTACAAAAGTGGCATAATTAATAATAATGCAGTAATCAAATACAAAACTTCTTTCAGTCCTGTAAGAAATACTGTCTAATGTAATCTAGTGGACTTTATTGGACCTGTGAAATGTGTATTAAAAGAAATAATAAAATACAGATTTTATGTGGCACTGCATTCTGTAGATGCCATTTTGCCAAGGTATTATGGTGGTAAAACCAGAGTATCATAGTAAGTGCAGAAAATCACTGAACTCGCAGTGTTCAATGTTTTGTTATGTCCAACTGCATGAAAATACATTTGGCATAGGAATCATTAAATGAGTGAATGACAAAAAGGGAATTGCTTTTTAACTTCTCATCTGCCTTACAGAAAAAAAGCCCACATGGTGGGGTGTGGTGAATCAATGTTACAATTTAATTTAAGTTATATGCAACGACCTTGTGTCCCATCCTCATGTCTTTGGAGGGGAAATAATGAGCCGAACATGTTTCAGTGACATTGTTGCAGTTTTTGTTGTCTGTGTTGTTAATCTGTGCAAAATATAATGTTGTCTTAATGTAAAAGCTTCAATAAGCCACAACCACAAACATTTAGGGATCTAGTTTTGCTCAAAGTACTATAAAATGAGACTATATATTGTATTTCAGTGTAAACTGACACCTTGTTGCCTTTTAGGCCTTGGAGCATGGATTTTTTGACTTTAAGACATTTGATGTGGATGAATATGAACACTATGAGGTTTGTACATTTAATAATGCATTGAATGTGTTTGAGCTACCTAAAATAATAGTATACAGTATCCTCCAACTTAAAACATACTGGAAACACGTTTGAATAAAACCCAGTGTTCATATGTAAGGTATGTACATGGAAACCTATATGCTCTGTGTGAAGAACATGCAGGGTTACTATCTTTGCAATTTCAGTGCATCATATCATAAATCTACTGTTTTCTTGTAGCCTTTCTGGCTTCTGGGACTTGTCTCATGCTTTCCTAACCTTCTCCCTGTGCACCATCCAAGGTCTCTCAGCTGACCCACAGAATGTTTTCTTTCAGCACTTGTTATCTCCTTCTTCAATTCCTGTTAGTACCAAATATCTGATGGATTTTTTTTAGCCACATAGATTATGCAGATTTTGAGGGGGTTTTTTAGTGAAGATGCTTTATGTGGAATTGTGGTAAAGGAAACACATCCAAACTATTTCCCTAATGAAGCCCTAGAAAGCTAACAGATGTATTTCACTGTTTTGCCAACTTTCTTACAACTTTCTTAGGTATAGATATTCTGGTTGGCTCTAGATGCTTCTAGGACTTTGTAACATGTACACCTTTATCTGCTGGTAGTATCAAGTTACCTCAAGCTACATTGCTTTAGAGAAGCTTTAAAATATGTCATGCTGTACCTGTGGGCTGGGCTGTGTGCAGAGGCAATCTCAGGTACAGAAGGTGTACATACATCTGGTCCAAAAGAGTTGCATGGTCTTTGTCCACCACGTCTCATCCCTAGGAAGGGAAAGGATTTTTACAGAAGTCAGTGACAATCATTTAGTTTGGTGGACATTGTCCTTGGAACATCTATAAATTCCTGTAGTTTTATTGGTTAAGGAGAAAGATATATAAACTAGAGGTGTACTAAATATTTGAGTATAAATTCAACTCTCTTTTTAAACTTGTATTGCTTTGCTGTAGCCAGTATTCTTCCCCTCTGTTGCAATTTCCAGAAAACTTTGAAGTAATGAGAATAAAGTTGCTAAGTTTGAAAATCTCCATTTTAAAGCATTTCCTATAGCTGAATGTATTTCAGGTACATACTGAAATGCTTCATAAATGTTCAAGAAAGTGAGGTCAGAAGAGGAATAAACAGTGGAAAAAGTTAATTGACAGCACATCTATACAGTAGGTGTTTGCAGTAGGCAATCTGTAACACAAATCTGCCTATTTCACTGAACTAGAAAGCATTTGTAGAAGGATTTCTGTATCCTGCAGTGTTCCATAATGATTAGGTTAAAAAATTGGTATAGCCTTTGCAGAATTGCCAAAAATAAATGATCAGGAACCAAAATTTAAAATATGAAATTGCTGCTTTTTGCTTACTATATGGACAAAAAGAAAAACTTGTTCTAAAAACAAATGGTAGTTGGGAATACTGTATGTATAGTAGGCATTAGTCTGCTTGAAAAAGAGGCTTAAAATAATTGACTAAAGCTATCCCATTATCTTGTTTAAGGCATAACATTATTTTAGAGTGTGAAAAGTACATACATGTGAATGATGTTTATAGTATGCTCTTTGCTGAGTTTAAGAAACAAGAATTTGGAATCATCTTTAATTTTTTGTCCATTTTTGATACGTCTTCTTTTTTTCACACATCATGGTCAGCTTTGTGTTTTGTTATGTCCCGTGCTATATTTCAAAAACTCTAAATGTTACAGGTTTTTTCTATGTTAGATCTTCAAATGTGTGGTTATGTAGATAAAAGTTGCATACGACTTAAATGGAGCAGTCTAAAAGGAAATTTTATTTCATGTTTATAGTTTTTTCATCTTACTATGTTATCAAGGCAGCTAATTCCCCTTTTGTTGGACTGGAAGTAAATTGCTGATTGGGATTTTTGGTAATAATGATGTTTGCATGTAATGTCGAGCATATATATATACACACATAAACAGAGATGCCTGTAGTTCATATTGATAAAAATTGAAATTATTCACCGTGACCCCTGTATCTATAAAGAAATTAATCCACAAACAAAACTAGTGATACAAATACAAAAATATTTTTAGCTTACTGAACAGGACTTCTTCCCCAAAGGAAGTAGGGGTGCTGCAGTGCTGGGATGTCAGTCTGTGATACCAATGGGGGCCAGGGGTCCTGGCTTGGCACTGAGGTTGGTTCTCCAGTCCTTATGCAACCTGGGTAACTTCCAGGAGTTTCCATTGTGCAGGGACATTGGGAGCGAGCCTAATGGGCTCAGCTAAGCAAACAGTTGCTGAATTGATTACACTGATGTCCATTATCAGAACCTTTCACTCATTAGGCTGTTCTGATGAGCTGAGAGCCAAAAACACGAGCTTCATAATGCAGCTGAAACGAGTGCCATGTCCTTAAAAGTCATGCTGAGAATAACTGCATTGCCAAGCAAGGAATGAGCAGTCTTCAATTAAAGAAAGAAAAGAAAGCACTTCAGAGCTACAGTTCATGTTACTTATTTCCAAAGAAGCTTTCATTTTCAGCAGTGACAGAATTTGAAGAGCCTTTTTAGGTTTTCACTTAAAAGTGAGCAAGAAAGGCAAAATGTCATGGTTTGAAAGTTTATTAAAATGTAGTCTCTTTATTTAATTTACACTTTTCTTCTGTGATTACTGGCTCATCAGAGCTTATGCCAATATGTAAATTTCAGTTTCTACAGGGAAAGGGTAATTGTTTTGAAGGTTAATTGGTTTTTAATTTGTTTTCTGTGAATTGGGTTTTTTAGCTAGTGCCTCACTCCGTAGTTTTTGATTAAAACATAGAAGAATGTTGGTTAGTGTTATTAATGGGCGTCCTGAAACACTGAACCCTCTCAAAGAGTAATATCTTGCATAAAGGATCTTTCAGCTTAAGTAAATTTTGTTTGCATTTCGCTTTATTAAGATAGATCTGAGAAGCAGCTTATGGTTAATTTGTCCCATATAGTTAAGCTAGCTAATTACATTTGAAGTGTTTGTTTTATTGTAACAAGAACATAGTAAAGTGTAAAATAAAATCTTGAGTAATTTTTTAAACCTTGTATATACAGATATTAAAAATGGTTTTTCTCTTCTGAAATTTTTGTAGCGAGTGGAAAATGGTGACTTCAACTGGATTATTCCAGGAAAATTTTTGGCTTTTAGTGGACCACACCCAAAAAGCAAACTTGAAAATGGTATGGTGTATGTTTTTATGCTATGATCTTATTTCTCCAGCATGTAAAACCATCACAGCAAATGAGCAGAAGATAATAGAGGGTTATAGGTCAGTTTTAATCTTCAGAAATGAGCATTTTATATACGCTCATAGAATTTAATTCAAAAGATTTTGGAATTCTTCTTTGCCAGAAGAATTTCAATTCTTCTAACAGTCAGTGACTTTTCATCCTGTGACAAAGGGCCTGAGAGACTCAGGTTGCTTACTATGCTCCTGGAACTTGATACAGTAAGTGTGCAGAATTAAAGGTGAGTTGCATGAAACACAGAAAACTATGTTAAGAGTTTTGTGACACAGAACAGGAAAAACTTTTTAAAAAAGCTTGCCTTTCCTACTGAAGATACTTGGGGTAATGTGAAGATACTAGGGAATGTGATTCTAGTTGAATAAAAAATTTTAAAAAATAGAGAAACTTGACTGCTTGACTGACAGAGAGAAGATAGAGATTTGGTCCAGCTAAAATGTAAATCAGTCATTTAAATGCTACCATCAGCTTTTTTCTGAATTTGACTCTGTTATTTGTGCCACGTCCTGTTGTTTATGTGAGCATCTTTTCTGAATATGTACCTTCCCTGCCCGTCCCCTTCTGCTCCCTCATGTTTATGACTGAAATGCTGCGAGTTACATAGTGTCCACTGAAAATTTAAACAAAAGCCAGAAAGAAAACATTTTGGTTGGTTTGGGTTTCCTCCCCAATCATTGTTGCAACCCTTTCTTGCAGAATTTTTTCTAAATTTACTTAAATTGTTCCATGGAATTTTGAAAACCTGTGTTTTATTTATAGCATATATAACTGAAAATTATTAAATTGACACATTAAAATCCAGTTATGAAACTATAACTAACCCTCTCCCAGGTGATTGCAAGCACACATTACAAAGGTACATTTTTCTTTCTATGTGTGACTTGAATTGCATTAACTAATACATATATGACTTGTCCTGAGCAGCTGTCTTGTCATTGGTCATTGACCTCCCTCCCTGTCCCCCTATCTTCATCTAAAGGATCCTTTTGTCTCTTGACTGAGAATCAAGGCAATAAAGCTCTCTTACTTCCCAGTAGGACAGGAATATTTTTGGTACTGCAGTTTATCCTTTGACTGTTTCTCTTGTCCATAATATAGATGAGCAGTCTATTTTCCTTAGAAACAGTGTTTCCTCTTCAAGCATGCTTTTATTCTTTGATAGCAGCTCGACTCTAGATGAACAGCTGTCCTGAAACACTGAAATCACATATGTCCCCAGCTTTATGTATAAATGCCCCTTGCATAGAGGAATGGGGGCTTCATGGCAGACAGTACGACTCTGTTTTAACTTCTTGCCTCCTAATACTTTTTGTAATAAAAGTGGTCTTAATGAGCATTTTTTGGACAAATTTTTTATATCACTTAGCATGTCTATTCTGAATAAAGTATTAAAGTATTTTTAGTACTAGCATGTTTATTATTCAGAAAGCTTCCAGGGGCAATTTTGAACTTCATGACTCTAGGGTATTAAATGATTGTGGCTTTATTTTTTTATAGGTTATCCTCTTCATGCACCTGAAGCCTACTTTCCCTATTTCAAAAGGCATAATGTCACATCAATAATAAGACTAAACAAAAAAATTTATGAGGCAAAACGCTTTACAGATGCTGGTTTTGAGCATTATGATCTGTTCTTCATCGATGGCAGCACACCAAGTGACAGTATAGTGCAGAGGTTCCTGAACATCTGTGAAAATGCTGATGGTGCCATTGCTGTACATTGTAAAGGTATGTGCATCTACTCATTTCTCAGACCAAAATTCAAAATAAGTATAAATCCATAGAGTTTATCCCAGAAATGCAGCATTTAAGAACACTTCCAGATTGTGAGAGTAATAATGCTGCTTTATGGTGCTTTACTAAATATATGCCAAATATTTGTTATTTTCCTCTGTATATGAAGTCCGTACATCCTACACTGTTACAGGCAGGAACTGACAATCTATTCTTCATTGTTCTGGGGGGTTTTTTAATATGACTTGAAAACGAGATTTAGTTGATGTAGGTTTCTTTTTTGCATTATGCTTTCACAGCATTATGATAATTGGCTAGGAACTGCAAAACACTAAAAGGTTTTCTTTGTGCTTTTTGACTGCTCTACATTTTTCTGTGGTGTATGAATTCCACATTTCAAGATTATGTGGGTTATTGTGATGCCAGCATTTCAAACCAGCCAGAAAATGCACAAAACATGCTTAGTCAAGAGAGAGTAACAAAGCCTTTTAAGGGTTCAGCCTGAGTTTTGTTTAGAGTTGTGTAAAGACATGGTGGAGGTGAATGTCTTGCCTGATCAGAAGCAAAAATAATACTATTCATAATTTTCCCAGGAACAATAAACATGCATGTCAAAGATAAGCAAGTTTATTTGTCAGCAGATTGTTACTGTTGCTAGAACCCAGAAGTTCTGGCATTGATAAGCTGGGCACTGCTAATTGGCTAAAGAGCATAAACTATTGATTAGCAGTTGTTAGTAAGTTGCTCCAGGCTTAGCTACTTAAGGAATATAACATACTTGTAGTGAGTTAGAGATGTGCTTTCTACACTGAAGTATTTTTGGTCTTTTGTCTGACCATTTAGTTAGCAAATCAACAATCTTGTTCTTTCTAGTTTTTATACCACCCTAAATATTCCTCTACATTGTTAAATCAATAGTTAACTCAGGCCTAAGTCAGGCAGAGATATATTGCAGAGGTGTTCTGAGCACAGCTATTACACTAGAAACTGCTTGTCTCATGAGATAGAACAGTTAATTGCAAAGGATTGTAATGGAAAGTTTGTACATTAGCAAAATGTTGGAGGAAAGAACTGAAATCAATACTTCACCTTTTAAATGAGTCTCAGAGCTTGTCTTCCAAGCTACAATTATGGAACCTCACTATGTGTGAACTTTCTCTACCTTCATCCTACTTAAATCATCTTCACTTTCAAGAAAGTCAGTCAGTTACTGTTAAATGTAAAGAGCTTGTAGTTGTGTATAGAATTGTCAGCAGAGATGGCTGGCTGCTTGGAGAGTTTCCATGTGGATAGTTGTTGGTGCATGAACAATAGTAGGCTACTGTGAGACTTAAACTGCAAATACTGTATTTATGAGAAATAAGGTTTAAATAGGGAAACACTTTAGTAGATGAGACACAGAGTTAGAGATTAATTCTCCCTTTATAGTTTGAGATTTTACTGATAGTAAAAGCTAATTTTTCTGTGTCTCTGTTGTCCCCTTAAAAACAGGATTAGTTTGGGATGTGTTGGGCAATGGGTTAAATGATTTTAAGCTATTGATATCTAAAATTACACACTGGTCAACAGTCATTGCTGTTCATACAGATAGCAGTGAATAGTTTTATGTGCTGGTTTCACAACAAAACTGATTAAAAAAAAAACCCCACTGAGTTGCTCTGTTGAGATGTGGCATGTATTTGCACCATGGTTTTTAGGTACTTGTGTTGGCCTCTCAAAGGTGCTTTGATTATGGTTTTTTACTGGTATTATAAATATGAAGTTGGTATCCAGCTTGATCATGGCCTTTTAAAAAATCTTGGCCTTTTCTTAAACAAAGTTTGGAGGAGAATTTTTCAAGTGCTACAAGTGTTCACTGTTGGTGTTCTTTTAAGCATTAACTTTTCCAAAGTATGAAAGATTTGTCCCTCTATCTACAGCATTGCAATTAAATTATGTCATAAATGGGATACTGAATCAAATTATTTCTTCAAGTACTAATATGGTGAATAACATTGCATGGAAGTTTTCTTGTATCCCATCCTTTTATTTGGTAATTCTGGAATGCCCATCCCTTCATGTGTGGCTGTTGATATTTGTGTTTTTGTAGCTGGCCTGGGGAGGACAGGAACACTGATTGCTTGTTACATAATGAAGCACTACAAGTTCACACACGCTGAAGCCATTGCTTGGATAAGAATATGTCGCCCAGGCTCCATCATAGGACCCCAGCAGCACTTCTTGGAAGAGTATGTATACATGTATATACTTAATTTGCTCCTCTCCATCCCTATGCATCTTGCACTATTTATAGGTTCTACTGACATTTGTAAGTTGTTGCCCGTTCTACAGGTTTAAGGTTAGTTAATAAGGGATTGAAATCTGGGATACTCAGAAGCAGTCAGCTTCTCTGGAGTTCTATGCATTTTGTCCTCTTAAAGGGGCACGTTTCTGTTCTGTGGAATTCAGGAGTTAGATGAATGTTTTGAAAGTGGACAGATGTGGACAAAAGATTAAATCAACAAACAGGATTTATTAAATATTAGCATTGAAATAATAGGTTGGGGGTTTTAAATTTTTTTTTGTGATACACATGTAAATTTTTTTCCAGATGAAGATGTACAGAAGTTTCAAATGTTAGCAGTCTGTAAGCGTGGCATGTTTTCATATGGTTTTTTATGTGTCTGGGAATGTGTCAATCTGAATGGCTTTGGTTTTGTATCCTGAAGGAAGCAAGCAATGTTATGGCTGGAGGGAGATCTCATCCGATCAAAGCACAAACAGCGAGGACTGGATGGAAACTTTAACAGAGTTCTTTGTGGCTTGAATGACATTTCCATCAGTGACAGTTTGAATAAAACACAACACTTGGATCAATACAAGGAGGTAAGTGTTCTTAGGAAAAACTTCAAACAGACTGAAACTGAGCTTTTAATAACTAGCTATAGATAACTTCTAGATTTTTGGCTTTTTTAGGCTTGTATTATTACTAGATTGATTTTTCTCAGATTAACTTTTTTATAGGTCATAATTAGAACAGATCTCCACTTAAAAATAAAAAAGATCAAGTAATATTTAAAACTGCTACAGGTAATTTTTCAAGCTTCAAAAGATTTGCATTATTTCAAGTCATTCTCTCAGGATTTTCAGTTGTTTACTTGAGAATGAAGGAAAACAAAAAGTCAGCTTACCTCCCAGAAACAAAAAATCTGCTTATTCTAAGTTTTTAACTAATAATGCAGCTGTGTATAAATGTTCAACAGACATCCTTGAAGTAAATAAATGCTGGCATTAGGCTTGAGCATTGTGAACTGACTTCTGCAAAAGCCCTGTGTGAGTGTGTTTGTAGAGAGGCACATTTAATGTACCAGAACTATACAAAGAGCAGTGCCATGCCTGCAGGATCAGATCAGCCTTCTGGATGCTGATCTTTGGCAAGGAGATGCTCAGGGCTTTTAAACAACACTGCTTCTAGGATTTGATAGATTCCCTTGCTTGCATACTTTTGTTTCCCAGAATGATTCTGAAGACAAAGATGTGGAAGCTCAAAATGAGATGACACAGGGAGATAAGCTGAATGCCTTAAAAACTCGGAGACAGCCTTGCTCTGCAACAGCTGGAGCTCTAAGGTAATTCTACCAGTCTGAGTAATCTGCAGTTTTAAATTCAGTCCATGCTATCAGATCTGTGTGGCAAGTGCTTGATCTTGTTTAAGGCAGTGGTGCTCCCTGTACCACCACCTGTGGAAACTTCTCCAGATAAGTAGCTATTAGTTGCAGATTTGGTTTGTTAGTCTTTTTCTTCTCTCCTTCTCTCCTCTGTCTCCCTGTGTAGGGATGCCTTCTTACTGTTTAGAAGTAAAAGATAATGTAAAAAATACTTCAAAATTTTCTAATTTATGTCTAGTGTTTTAAAACTTACAACTTGAACAAAATTTTCTTAATTAAACTTAATTGTCTTTCTATAATTACTTTTCTGTATTCCTTATAGAAATCTATAATTTTTCAGAACTAGTAAAAATGTGAACTTTGAAATTAAACTTGAAGTAACTCTGTTCTTTAACTGTAAATTAAAACACTGTCAATAATTCTAAGTCTTATTTTTATATTTTAAGCCGACCTGAGACACACAGATATGATTTTGCAGAGAGGAAAGGTTTTTTTGTCCTTGGGTAAAGATTGCTGCTTTTGTTTCTTTAGGCTGCAAGACATGAAACTGCACACCCGGTCAATATCACACCCCTTCAGGTACTGACTTTAAAGTTCTAGTTCTAAATATCACTTGACTAGGGTCTTAATTTTGAGTGTTTTGGATCATTGCTAATCAATTTATGTGATCACTATTTCAGAATTCTGAGCAGAAGCAGGTAACAAATCTTTTTATGCACCTGCAAATTGCATGCCTTACCCCACTGAATTGATAATACAATATGTAAGACAAAATTTCTATCATTATCAAGCATTAATAATAAAAAGAGCACCTTTTTTTTTCAGTTTTGTGACCTGAATTTTTGAGTTGAATTTCTCCAGATGGCTAGCACTGGAAATGAGTGTTTTACCCTTTCTTGGTGTGTAATTCAAGTTGCTCAGTGTCATTTTCCTTCTGTGCTTGTAGTTGGAGATCTGGACCCAAGCTTTTTCATCCTTGAGGGTCTGATTGTTGTATGCTTTCATCTAGGGTTAGAGAAAATTAATTTCTTTAATTAATTAATGTGGACAGCCATAATAGTAACAATTTGAGTAGTCCAGCGTAACATACATACAGCTCATTATCAACACATGAAGAATTTTGTCATTAAGAATCCCACTGTAGAAAGAGCTGCATGTTCTGTGCAACTTTGTGAAAATTTTCATTTGGAAATGATGATGACCTCCTGAAAGCTACAGTTTTGGGTTTTTCTGCTCATACTTGCTCTATAAGCTCAAAAAGTGCTCTTAATCAAATTTATATTTAGAGTTCTAAAATTTATAGTAAAACTTACACTAAATCTCTAAGAAATAGACCTTGTCCTTCATAAATTATCAAGGTGAAAAGTAGCTTGTAACTTTTTAATAAAGTGCACCAGGGGAAATACTTGGAGTGGATATCTGAATAGTTTTTTAAAAAACTATATTAAAGCAGGTACACTTGAGTTTTTGCTGTTGAGTTCCCAGACTTGAGAATTCACACTTTTTTAAAATACCAGTCTATGTACTGAAAGACTATGTGTTGGAGATGTATATTTTAATTATAAAATCTTGCTTCTCACTGCAACTCTGTGCTCTTTTTAGACTGAGTACTTCAGGTAGCACAGAAGGATCCATTTCTCCTCTGAAGGCCTCCAGAGTGATGGCAGTTACTTCACCAGCTGCAGAAAGAATAAGCAGGCTTTCCACGTCCTCAGGCTCTTACCTTAAAAGGTTTTTTTCTTTCTTCTCATTTTGGTTCAAATGCTTACAAGTATCCCACAGTGGTCGTCAGCACATCTGCAGCCTATGAAGTGCTTGCTATTCTTGGCTATAAGAATACAATACTTAAATTTACTTACAGTGATTTGCTGTTCCACTAGCCAGACTTCAATTGCCTACATATTTAAAAAACAAGCAAAATCCAAAATCTGTCCTATTGGTCTGAGAGTTTTATTGAGATTGTGCCATCAGAAATAGTATTTGCTCAAGTGGTTTGTTAAGGTTTCTTTCACTTATCTCAGTTTATAGATGTTTTGCAGATATTCCCACTAGTGTATATACTATTACTCTCAGAATACTGAGTGGTAATTAATTTTTTAATGAACCATTGATTTATTACTATTTAGCTTCATTATTACTATTGTTCTAATTAATTATATATATTAGACACTCAGAATGATTAATGTATTTTTAATAACTGTGCACAAATATTTGCCTGAACAGAGTAACCAGCTTGAGGTATTTTAGGACACCCATTTCTAGTCTCAAGTTTTGTCATATTACTACTTGATTACTTGAGGGCTTGTACACAAAACTGATGGCAAGGAACAGAGGAGGAGTTCTTAAACTGTTCCATGTACAGAAAGTACTTCAGTGTAAATCAGATACTGCCTAAACCTTTTAACACCACCTCCTGTATGTGTGTATGGTTTGACAGAGGTGAAAGCTAGCCATGACATAGTGCTTGAATAAGCAAAGCTTGGAAAGTCCTTACAAAGAATTCTGCTTTTCATTACTTAGGCACTAGAAAATGAACTTGTGTGCAAACACATTATTTCAGAATGGTCTGGGTTATTCACCTAATGTCTTCTGAATTGTCTGTTACATTTTTGTATATATCTCTACATACCTTGTGAATATTTTTTTCCCTGCATGTGTTTTCCATTCAGCGTTTCCATAAACTCCAGACTAGCCAGTTCTCTAGGGAACCTGTATGCTGCTTCAGATGATGATGAGAGCAAACTGACATCATCGTCCTCTAGGACAGGTTTTTCTGTAAGCCATATCTGCAGTCACCTGAATGGCAGCTTGCAGCTGCCACACAGAAAAAACCATGAACTGAACAACAACTTATACAACAGAAACAGCAGTAGTGGCAACAACCTGAGCAGCCAAAGCAATTTTCAGAGCGCCGTGACAGATGAGTACGCACCAGCCTTCCTTTATGGGCCTTACAACTCCTCCAGCACGATTCCAGAGTCCATTCCTGTAAGTCACAGTCACAACAGCACTTTCAGGCAGCTCACTGGTGCTTTTCTTCCTTGCTTCTATGAGCAAAACTGTTGGAAAAAAAAATCTTAACACAGCATAATTCTCCGACTTGCTCTAATGTTTCTGAACAGCACCTTTGTCTGTTACCTGTCACTTCAGCTGCTTTTGTTTCCATCTCTTCTAAGCATCTGTTACATGGAAGCTTCATGAAAATAAATTGCATCTGAACTTTACATCTTTTCTGATAACTTTTTTAATGGACCTTCTTACCCTTTAGATTTTATTTCAAATTACCCATAATACAGTCTATAAGTTAATTCTGTGTCTTCATCTTCATGCAGTAAATTTTAAGAAGCCTTTGTATGTGTCATAGTAAATAGATAGTAGAACATCCTTAAAGATGGATCTTATTTGAACCTACTCCTTTTCTAACACCAGATGTGGAAAGTATTAGAAGCAAGACATTTCTGATGGTGTCACATTGCAGCTTTCATTCCTCAACAACGTTGCTGCTTTGGACTTATTTTGTGTTCTTTTTCTGTGTAAAACAGTCTGTACAAAGAGGATGTTCATATAAACTAATGCAACTTGAAAGTGTTTCTATACAAAATGCAGAGAAGAGAGACTAGAGCAACTTCAGTTATGATCAGAAATAGCTTCATCTATTCTATGGAAAACGAATTGTATCTACTACTATAAATCTAAAACCAATTTAAAATACCTGGTTTCCAAGGATTTGATAGCCTACTAATTATAAAAAATAGTACACTTTTTAATATATTTTGCCTATGATTAAGGGAGTCTGTCAGCCTCTCTTGACTAGTTCTGACACTTAGGATTTTTATTTTTTTTACTGGGTGGAAATAAAATTGGCTTTGTGTAAAATTAACTGGAGTATTGGACATCACTCTTCTATTCCCTTACCACTGATAAATTACTTCAGTATGAAGAAAGTTCTGGTGTTACACCTGCTAGTGGTTTTGAGTGTGGTGAGTTTGTCTTAAAACAGCTAATAACATACATTGCATGTAAGTGGGATGTCCTGCAGAAGGTCATTCACAGCCTGTGTTCCCTTCTTCCTTCAGAAGTGGAGGATCTCCCCTCTTGTTATCAGCTCACATTGGCACCACTCAGTTCAGAAGCCACATCTTTGTAGTTGGGGAGTATGAATTGCTATTTCTGAGGATAGATGAAAGTAGGAAGTAAAATCTCATTGTTCCATTGTGGAATTAAATTGCATGTGTGACTGAAACCAAATCTGTGTAAACAGAACATTGAAGTTAGTTGAGGGAACGTGATTCTGTATTTTCTAACTCAGTGGGTTCTTCCTACTGTGGTAGAATCTGCTTGACCTAAGGCAGCTCTTCAGAATACTTGATGCTTTCAGGTTCCTTGTTTAAAAAAAATCTGGCTTCTATGCACTACGGTTTATCTGAAAATAAATGCTGGTTTCCATGATCTTAGAATCACTGTTCTGCATTGAGTTTAAAATTGAATTTAAACTTTACTTCAAACAGCAGCAGTAACTTGTTTGCAAGGGAGTTCTTGAATGTTGCCGTGTCTTCACCCTTCAATTTGACTCTGTTTTTCCCTACTATATGGATTGTAATAAACTATATATAATTGAGATTTTTCAAGTGACATATAGAAACCATAACAATTTTTCTATGATGAAACAAGTTCTAGAACAAGAGACTGTTCTTGTTTAACTAATTTGGTTTAATTTCTTCAGGCATGGAGATGAGGAGAGAGGTGAAAAGCTGTATAGCAAGCCAGGAATGTTTGTTTAAGATACATTAATGAGCCTTTCATTTGTTCATGCATTTGTTCTGATTGCTCTGGAAAGTTATCCTTTTTAGGTGTTCCTAGTCTCTAATCCAGTATGCTTACAGAAGTTCAGTCCTCTGGTCCTGTTGAGTATCCTGGAACTAAAAGTCAATATACCAGTGGGTGAGAGCAATTACTCATCTGAATAATAAGTGGTAAATTGGCTAATTTGATTTTTTTTTTAAATGTCTCACTTTCAGTACTGTCTAATATTTAATGGATTGAACAATAATTCTTTGGAGAGTCAGCCCATTCCCATTCTTTTCAGTTGTTTCTTTTGTAAATTATATGCTGCCAGCAGCATTTTTAGAGGTTTTTTCCCCACATTTCACTTTCAGCTATATATTATGCATAAAGTGTATGCATGTAAGCTTACATGCAGCACCCTAAGGGGAAGAAACTCCTTGTAACTGTAATATGACTTAGTCATGAAAATAAACTGGCATCATTCACAATAGGCTAGAATTTCCAAAGGTTCCAAATGATAAGGTAAAGCATTACAGAAACAGTAAGCCTGTTTGCCTCAAGCAGCTTAAAAGGTTTAAAGTAAATACTACATCTTAAAAGCTAAGAACTGTCACCTCCTTTGGAGATGTAGTTGCTGTAACTTAATGCTACAAATTATTTTTAACAGTGAAAGCCAATTCAGTGGGCCTGTTCCATAAGCATAGGACAGAAAATTAAGTATTGGTGACACTTTGGGATTTTTGTGTGTCTAGATATTTACAAAATTCTAGGATAGTGCTGTGTTTCTCCTTAGCATCATAAAACCTTGAGGTGCAACATAGTTGGCATTGACAAAAATTCTCCAAATCTATATGGGGAAAGGGGGTGATTTACAAAGGAACTTCCAGAATTGTTGCATGCTTTTCTTTCTTAGATAAGGATGACTTAGTAACAAACAGTTCTTGCTTTTCTTTCTTTTTCTATGTAGTTTAAGGAAGAAGAAAGGAGTGATTCATGAACAGGTGAAATAGCCATGTTGACAGAGAGGTGCTTACAGCTCTGTGCATTGCAGTGAAGAAGGAAATTAATTATTGTCTCTCTGCAGTAGAACTATTAAGTGACTTAAAACCTTGGTTTAAATGAAATATCTTAGGCATAGTGTAAAGTTTTAGGTTGAATAGAAAACATTTTTAAAGAAAAAGAACCTTTCTAAAAGGCACAGTTCTCATATTTTAAGAATATCTTTCATTTTCTTCCTACCTATCTTAATGACTTAATATTGCATGGAAGGATATGAGGGATATAAAGGACATCACCTTTGAATAATTCTTGGCTTGATACTGCTTGCCCTTGAGTAGAAGTTATACACAGTCAAATGCAGCACCATCTTTAAACAAGATTCTATCTCCAGTCTTCTCTGAAGAGTGAGGTGATCTAAAAATACTCTATTTTATATTATATGCTGTGATGTGAGAAGCAACGTTTCTTAGCAAGAGTCGTGCGAAGAATACATAGCACAGTGCAAGTTTTCAATTTACCTGAGAAGCAATATTCTTTCAATATAATAAAAAGTGTTCTTGTTTGGAATGATTTTCACATATGTTCTGATTTAATGCATTTACCTCTAAATGTACTCTGTAGCCTTGTGCATATCTCCCAGTCACAGAGGAGTGCACTAAATTGTTACCCATTTTATGCAAAATTGACTGAGTGCAGTTACTGTGATGTCTTGAGATGTAAGACAAGAGTAGGTTTTTCAGTCATTTAATCTCTGAGTGCTTTCTGTCTGGTAGTGAGCAACTCACTGGCAAATACAGATGTCTTATTTTGTGGACAACATAATTTTTCTGAATGACTAGTCCCACTGATTGAACAGAGTAAAACTATTTCACTTTTAACCTGAAACTTTCTGTATCTCTTTTATTATGTGTTATAGCCCCTTGTTATTTTCTTGTGGAGATACCTCATGCTACTCATCTCAAATTGGTTTTCTTTTGATAAGCTAAGTTTGCTCAAAACTTCATTTGGAAAGTGTTCAAATTCTTCATTTTTTTTTAATCTTTCTAGTCCAGAAAGCTGCTACTCAGTGCTACCCTGCTTATAAATACATAGCTTCTTTCATTTTCTTTGACTGCAATGCACCAAGAGTTGAGGGAGAAAGGGGAGGAAAAAAAAAAGAGTTCTTTCCACTGATGATAGTGACTTCTATTTTTTCTATTTAAATCCCATGCCCTGCATTCCTCAAGGGATTGATTTTTTTTATTTGGTTTGGGTTTTTTTTTTTCCATGTGGAACTCTGTGGAAAAGCATCATCTTTCTTCTTTTTCGTTTGTTGGTTTGTTTTGTTGGGTTTTTTTTCCCTCCTTCCCCTCCCCTCTTCTTCTAGGAGCAATTAACCCACCAAGGAAGATTGGTTTTTCCTTGCCACTTCAGCCCCTGACATGCAGCTGTTTTTTTGGTGGCACTTAACAGTGGTCTGAAGCTCATCAGCAAAATGTGGAGTAGTATCAAGCCAGCAGTTCTGGCTGAATTCTTTTAAAAACAGAATTCTGTTTAATCATTTCCACTTCACTGCTTTAGATGCTGAAATTACTTGAAAGTCGTGACAGCCCAGCCTAGCCTTATTGCAGTGTTTGTGTTCTTTCTAATTGGAGCACATCAAGTGATGCACCTGACAGAAGTCTATTACATGTCCTGGTGCTTTGTTTATTCACTTATCTCGACAAAGGACTCTTCAATGATATTGATTAATTCCCTTTGTTTTAATTGCCAAAGTCTCCCTTCCCTAGATATCAAGCTAACCAGCTTTAATCATGCAGTACTTTTATTTTAGAAAATCACCTTATCACTCTTACTTCTCTATCTTTGTTAACATGAGTGGTCCAGGAGCATTTTGAGATGGCTAGGTCAGCAATTTTTCCGTTTTGGTTTATGTTCACTAAACTCAGCAGTGAATTTTTCCCGCAGTATGGAAGAGAAGGTTATTCACTGGTCTTTTTTTCCCCAATGTATTGCAATGAAAAAGCACTAATACTGCTGTTCCACATCCCACTTAACAAAAAGGAAGAATAAAAAATGACTATGACTATAGCTATTGTTGTCAGACATGTATTTTTCTCTACTGGCTTTTGTCCTTCATCAGTACAAGCTTATAATCCACTTTATCGTGTTTATGCTGATGAACTAGAAGAAAAGCTTGATTTTCAAAGAAAAGAAAACTTGCTGTTACAGTCAAATAGAATAAATATTTTTTTACAAAGTGCGTGTTTTGATTAAACAGAATCTTTCACAATAACAATTTTCAGAATTACTCTCTTCAACTATAATCACACTTAAGGTACTGCTGTAAAATTTTTGGTTTGTTCTTGCAATTGTTCTAAATCCAACTATTGCTCTTTAAAATGTATTTTTATTGGAGAATATGTAACTGGGTAGTCTTAAGATGAGTCACCTTTTGCTTCTATAGCTGTCATGGAAACTGGCAAGATGGAAACATTGCCAAAAAATTGAGAAGTGTTGGCAGTGTTTTAAAATTCATATACATCATCTCTACCTGTACCATGGCTTTTCTTAATAAGAATGTACCCTTAATGTAGATAGGACAAGCTTTGCTCTGGCAAAAAACAGACAAACACAAGTGTACCTTGCTGTGTGTAAATTCATCAGACCCATGGGATAATTTTGTGTTTGTGTGCATTTTCTCTAATGCATCCTGAGTTAGTTTAGTGGCCCTTGTGTATTCACAGTAGTTTTTGCCTGCAGCAACACTCCTGCTGCAGCAATGTTTTGGGAGAGTTGATGCACAATTCAAAAAACTTAAGTTGCATTTTTGCAATTATCTGGGGAAAGAGCACATTCAAATCCTAACAAATAGACCTAAATGCTCTATGGTTATTCTGTCTCAAAACAGAATTCAAAATCAAAATTCAAATTCAAAATCAGGCTCACTTGCTCCTGCAGTCACTGCAAATACAGTTCTAGTCCCTCAGTGGACTTGGTGCTTATTTTCTCCTCCAGGAGGCTTTCTGTGCCTCCTCTTGAAGAAAAATGAAAGTGATCTAAGCAGTTGTTTCAGCATAAACTTCATTAAATATCCTTAACTGTAGTGAAACTATCTAATTCTTAGTTCTTTGTTTAAATGTCTGTTACTTGGGTATAAAATGGCAAGCTTGACATGGCATGGGACCACTGTAGGAATACACACTGAGATTTCTTCTCCATTAACTGATTTTATACTCTCATCTCTGCAATTCAGCAGTCAATTTTCTTTGGGTTTTTTTTCTTCTATTTTTAACTCTATTTTAAATAAGATTTTGTTAAATTCAGCAAATTACTTGTAAAAAGGGATTGGGGTTTTTTGTTTTTAATAAAGCTTTCAGAAACATAGCCCATACGTTGAGTCATAGCAAATGTAAATTTTAAAATAGAAAACTCCTCAAAAGATTTAAAAGAAAGAAAGAAAAAAAAACCACAATTACAGGCTTTGAAACTTTGCAGTCAAGCTCTTCAGACATGTGAAGAGATTTAAGAGCACAAATTACTTCTCTGAAAACGCCAAAAAAATCAAAACAACAAGCCTCTCCTGCTATATTTAAATTTTTCAAACTCAAATGTAAATCTTATACTTTACAATACCTCCGTTGTTTCAGCTATCACCATGTTTTTAGTGATAGAAATTTATGTGAAGTGACATAGATTAATCTGAAAAAACATGCTGTTTAGATTTAATTATTTGCCTGTATTTAGAAAAGAGACATGAGGAAGAAATCACAGGGATGTGAAGTAGAGTTATTACAAGGGTGAGAATACACTGAAAATCATATTTCTCCATTTGAAAGTAAATAAACTCTGCCTACCCATCTGTAAGGAAAATTACCAAAACATGGTAGCCTGTTTCCAAACAATATATACTGCTGGATATTGGGGGGAGGGTTTCCATATTTTTTGTAACTTGGATTACTAACAATTTTAAGAACTGCAGTTTAAACTTCAGAATCTTTAATTTATGGTTGCTTCTTTTATTGAAATCATGATGTAGAATTCCTGGTTAGTTCTGTCTGCTCAGTGAAGGGTTCTCAGTTCTTTGTAGCTAACACTTGCTGGTTTTAAGAGTGCACTGTGCTTTCTGGTCATCTTTCATCTGTCCAAGTTTAAAATAATCTATTACTGTACAACATATGAGAATATGTAACTACATTTCAGGCCTCTTTAAAATGTTTATTAATCTGTTTTACTAGGGATTCAGTTTTGATGGCTCCATTTCAAATATTATCACTAATTAAGTGTAACCATCTTTCCAGTTGTTAAAATACCCTTTTAAAAATGAGAAGCCTTTGAGGATCATTAAGAGAGGAGGAGTTTCAAGTGCTCATTAATGAAAGGCTATTCCTTCTGCCTTGCTCTTACTAAAACCAGACATTTTTTAGTCAGTGGTATTCAAATCTACATGCTGACAGCACTTTTTCTACCTAGGAAAAATACCCAGATGGTCTCAAATCTTCAACATGTAAAAATGCATTAAAAGACAACTTTGAAAATATACACTGAGTCTTAAAATATAGGGGGAAAGTAGTTGTGTGATATTAGTTAGAGCTATAAAGATACAGATAAATTTATTATGCACTTCTACTAACAGGTTTCACTATGAGTGCCAAAGAGCATTTTCTGTAGTGACTAGTTAGGAATAGTAGGAAATTGAAAGAGAAGACTCTGAGGATCCAGTCTGTCTTAGGAGTCATGTTGGTCTGCAGTAGGTCTCTAATTCTGAAGAATTGATGCAGTTTTAAAACACATTTGGGGGTTTTATTTACTATTTATTTAAAGCCATACTAATCTGGGACAGCTCATCACTGTACAAGACATATCAGACTTCTTAAACACATCTGCATAGGAGCTAGTAATGTGATTGGATACTGTCTAAGCTGATTAATCAGACTTCAGTAGAAACAGA